GAGAGGTCTGTACTGGGTCCAGTATTGTTGAATACCTTCAGAAATTAATTGGAAGATGGGACTGACTGAACATATGGCTAGTAAATTTCCAAATAACCCCAACCTGTGCAAAGTAGCAGACACAAAAATGACTGGATTAAGCTTCAAAGTAACCTTGATAAATTGGAAAAGTAATCCAGAATAAATCAGATAAAATTCAATAAGGACAGCCCTAAAGTACTATACTTAATACAATCAAACAAATGCAAAACGGGGAACGAATGTCTAGTACTGCAAAAAAGGGTCTGGATCACAAGCTGAATCTGAGTAAAAATTATCTTTTAAAAAATTATTAACTAATTAACAGCACATTGGAATTATTTAACAGGTGCATATTATGCTAGTAAAAGGAAGTGATCCAGGTATTCTATTCAGGACTGGTGAGGCCTCAAGTACTACATCCAGCTTTGGGCACAGTACTTCAAGAAGGATGTGAACAAACTGAAGGGAGGTCCAGGGGAGAGCAACAACAATTATTGTAGGTCTTTAAAAAATTAAAAAACATGCCATATGAAGAAAGATGGAAGGAGTTAAGTTTATTTAGTCTGGAGAAGAGAAATTGAATGGGGGGATTAATAACCATTTCTACAAAAGCAAGAACAAGTAGTAATGGGCTTAAACTGAAACAAGGGAGAATTCAGTTGGATATTAGGAAGAACTTTTAACTATGAAGTTGCTTATGCACTGGAACAGATTACCATAGAGAGAATGTAGAAGTTCTATTACTGGAAGTTTTTAAAACTAGTTTAAACAAACATTTGTTTAGAATAGTTTAGACAGGAGCAATCCTACCCTAATGAGAATGCTGGATCGCCTAATATGGGGAAAAAACTCCGAAATGGTGCTTTACTTGTATGCACATCAGCTTGACCCAGCTCACCAAACGTCCATATAGATTGTGCACTTCAGCAGGGCCTTTTGGCACTTTTATCTAATAGCTTGATTCTAAGAATCAAGTTCAATGTCTAAAATTGCTGGCTTTCAGAGGCTTTTTGGTCTGCTGTGCATATTACAACTCCTTGCTCTTGCCTCCTTTATTGAGGTTTCAGACACAATTTCATTAGTTTTAAGTTCTGAACTGCTTCATTCTGAAAAAGCTGCTGGGAGATTGTGGCATCCAACATTCTAATATTACAAAAACCTAGGTCTGTCTGTCTGGAAGGTTTTATTCACACTCTAACTGGCTTACAGAAACAGCCAATCAGAGTGCTCCAAGCGTGGGGGAGTGCCACCATGATTCCGAAGCCATGCCAAGGACCGGACAGAGAGTGGGGGAGCTGGGCCCAGCAGCACTGGCCTCGGCTCCCCACCCTGCTCCCTGCAAGCGGCACTAAGGACCAGACAGGACAGAGAGCAACAGGCAGAACAGCGGCAGCATGGGGCTCTAAGTGGTGGCACTCCATCTCAGCCCCTGCCTCCCCACCCTCCTGTCATTCTTGACAGGCATTTACTACTAGGTATAAAAGGTGGGGGGAAAAGTTGCAGTCTCATTTTCCCAAGAACATATGCTTTCAAGGAGGCATCAGCCCTATGGGTTGTGTCATTTTAGCAGCACTTTGTACTTCTGTCAGTTTTCAACTCTAAGTCAGAATGTCTTACTTTAGCTATTAGTGTTTGTGAAAACTTGATTTTTCCCCCTGCTTATGCACCAAAAGGTTATTGCTTGATGTTATAGAAATCATAACTCCTTTGGAATTCACAAAACTGAAAACAAATGAGCTGAACTAATTCTGTATCTAGTCAGGCACTGGAAAAATTACTGCAAGTCTGAGATTTGAATCACAGAAGGAAGCAAGCAAATGACCCTGCATGACAACCTAGAAGAGCCGCAATGCCTGACCCTTAAGGGTTCTGCACAGCATAATCTGTTCCATTATGGAGAGAGCAGGACAGTGGGCTCACTGGTTAATAGTGGAATAAATGCAGACCTACCACACATGCAAAGTAAGACTTAGCCACAAGTGAAATTATCACATAATTAACTAGTTATTCATGCGATAAATTTAGACCGGCCACACATGCAAAGTAATTATCACACAACAAAATTATCCAGCTATAAAACAGCCAACTAGCTATAAAGTTAGTGTGTGAAAATATGTAACAACTTTATAGCTGGTTTCTATCCAGCTTTAATCTGAACGTGTAGTAGGGCCCTTAGGCACACAAGGCACTGACAGACATGGGAAAGAAACAAAAGAAACCAAAACAAAAAAGACCCAAACAGCGCTTTACCGGAATAGGAACTGCATTAGTTTGACCTGGCTCTCCAGCATCTGTATAGATCGGGCATGTCAGCCGAGAGCTTTTTGGCACTTTCATCTAAAGCTGATTCAACCAACTATTAGATAAAAGCATCAAAAAGCCCTGCTGAAGCACCCGATCTATACAGACATTGGGCAAGCTAGGTCAAATTACTGCGATGCTTCTTCTGGGCATGTGCTACATTCGATGCAGGGGTGCACCAAACTCAAAGTATAGCGGTTTTTTCCTTCCACATCCGTAAGCAGCCAGAGTAGCAGAATTCTACCCTATAGGCCTAAATACTACGGGAAAGTATCTTTCTTCAAAGCTGCCCATCATTATGCATATAGAACATATTAATCCCAGAGTAATAGGTTTTACATTTCAAGCATTTCCTGTCCAGCTGATAATAATAACAAAAATGAATGAAAAATAAAAACCAAAAGTTTGAAAAAAGGAAAAAGAGAAACTACACTGTACCAACAGGGTGCATCTCACACAATAAAAAGCAAAAGGATCTGCACAGTCATTTTGAAGCTAACATTCAAGAAATAACACTGTGGACTTGTGGATGCTACACCACCACTTGGAATCAAAAAAGTACAGGAAAAACGTAAATGATTTATTCATCAATTTACAAAGTACCACAAACATAAGAGCAATATTAGAAGAACTCCAATTAATTCAGTGGGTTGGACTGACAGACACAGGAAAAGAAACTTTTAAGTAAAAAATTCCCCTTTCTCTGGCAGTCATGCAGTCTTACCTTAAAATGGAACATATATGGAAGTAAGATGCTAGGATAGTAAAATAATTATGAATATATACTTTATGTCTTCTCATTTTAAAAAGTGTAAAAAAAAAAAAATCACTAAATGAGTAAATTGCAGCACTCTTAACCCAAAGGCTGCATCAGCAAAAGCTTTCTAATCATTCTTTTCAAGAGCTGAGACTCCCTGAACAGAGGGATGAGATGGATGGATTCCTTCCAGATCTTCCATTTCAACTGAACACAGCTGAACTTTTTTTTTTTTGGTGTCCTATACACCTTAATACAGGAGTCAACCTGTGGCATGCATGTCACCAGCGACACAGGCAGCTTCTGTATGTGGCATGCGGCAGGTAAGGGAGAGGGCAGGCAGGGCAGCAGCAGATAAGGTAGGAAACAGCGCAGCGGATTGGGTAGGAAGAACAGGGCAAAAAGCAGAACGGCAGATTGGGCAGGGCAAAGGGATTGGACAGGGAAAAGGGATCACACTAACACTTGGGAAGAGTGCAGGGCCTATTTGTGGCATACCTGCTAAAAATGTTGCCCCTTAGTGCCTAAATGGTCATCATATCAATAAACCTAAGATTCTCAAAATGCCCTATATGGCATTCCATGTACAGGCATAGCCTTTTGATATCACCAGTGCACAGACAGAATGAAGGACTTGTGATACAAGACATGACCTCATAATCTTCCTTTTTGCTATCTCCATCCTCAGTTTAGCCTTCAGCATAATTTAGAGCAGTGCCCTGGGGAACTTTAGCTCTAAATCCTTCCACTTCTATACCAGAAAGTACCAGCGTCCAGCTATGCCAGTTTTGTGTAATTTAAATACCCTTCAGCTAGGAAATTCCCAGCTACCTCAAAAACAGTTCTCTTTTCTTCTGAAGCAGCTGAAACACAAGAAGATAACTTATAAATTGAGACTAATTAAGGGTCCCAGGAGCCAGATATATGTCCAGACTCTTCTGAACAGTTGTAGCTCTTCCTGATATGTGACTACTCTTCTTTTCCTTAGTCATCTTCTAGAAACCCAACACTTTAAGTATCGTCTTTTAGAAACAAGATGTGTTGTGCAATAAAACAAAAATTACTGTAATTCACTTGGAACCTAAAGTACAAGAGAAAAATGGAGAAAAACAGCAATACTGAAAGAAAAGGAGGAAAAAAAGATCAACAAAAACATGCATTAAGAAACAGCCTGTATTGTTAGAGAAACTAGAGCAGAAAAATCCCCTGCAAGTGCAGAATTCAAAGTTTTCTTTCATTCTGCTTCTTATCTAACATGAACAACATTAACACCCAGGCAGAACTCCAGGATGGTAAAGTGAGGATGGCAAGAAAGATGTCCTTAGTTTAGATCAGAGGTTCCCAACCTCAGGTTGCGACCCAAATGAAGGTTGCAGGGGCAATGCCGGCAGTGCTGTGCTGTGGATAAGGATAAGCTGTGCTGTGTGCCAGGACTTCCCCCACCCTCGGGCTGCTGCTGCTGCTGCACTCTGCTCCCAGCAGCGGACTGCAGCAAAAAAAGGTTGGGAACCACTGGTTTAAATCAACGGTTCTCAATCTTTTCAGACCTGAGAGACCCCTTGTTAGACTTGAGACACACCTCAAAAAATGACAGCTCTTAGTTTTTACTTTTTTTTACAGAAAAATAATAGAACAAATTTTTGTTGCAAGGAACTCAGAAAGACCACAAAAGTTGGGGGTTTTTTGACACTATGATTTCCTATTTGAAATCTAGTTTAGTTCGTGAATTATGTTTGAACACCTAACAATGAATGGCACCCTTGAAAGGATCTCAAGGAACCCCAAAGTGCCGCAGTACCCTGGTTGAACCCCATGATGCCGTAGCACCGTTTACATAGGCTACATATACACAGAACAAGTAAATGCTAATTAAGTTTCAGTTTATAAAACCTAACTAAAAAGTCTTTTTTTTCAAACTTACCTAAATGTAGCAGTGTAAACTGTGCTGCCAACTCTTTTGCATCTTCCAATGTTGTGCAAAGTTTGTCTGGCATGAAATAACTCTGAGAACCATTTGCAATGCTAGGCATCACTATCTTGTAAACCAAGAGTATTTTTCCATCCTGACTTGTTGTTGAATACAAGTAGTATTCTGGAGGTGCCCAGTTATTCTTGTTGCAGTAATAATCTAAATGCATTACTGCAGAATTGAAGTGGTTGGCTTTTAAAGAATACATGCTAATTGGAGTAAGCTTTGTTCCAGGAAAAAATGGATAAGTACCCCTTTCAAGTTCAGGGGGGGTTGGACTGTGCTGATCATTAAGGCGAACTGTAAGACTTGCTGGTTTTCCTAAAGATTTTTGATATCCATCTTCTTTGTTAGCAAACACTAGGAGAGTCTCAGAGTTTGGACTAATCTGACCATTAAGATGTTGTCTCCAAGTGCTTTCTTTGTTGACTGGTTTTGCCAGTGTTACTTCAATGCTAGCTCCATCAATACATTTTCCATTCATTACAGACATAGCAGCAACTGCATCCTCTCGGTTGAAGAAGTGAACAAAAGCATAGTCTCTCAGTTTCTTTACACGTTCAACTGTTCCTGGCTTGAATTTGTTAAATTCTGCTTTAATTGTATCCTCCGTAGTAGAGATCATTAAGTTTCTTACATACAACACTTTAACTTTCTGCATTGTTTCTTCATCAACTTCTTTCTCTGGGTCTGCCCAGTCTACTTGAATAGTATGACCCCATAGCTGAAATGTCCCTACAGTAAAAAAAAGATTACACTTAAAAGAAAGACAATACAATTTATGTTAACAATTCCTCAAAAAAGCTAAATACTGAATAATGCAATGTTATTTATTATAAATTTGAACAACGTTAAATGTTTATATGCAGTCATTTACCTGATTAAATAAATTGGGTATTACTTAAAATTATTTAAAAGGTCAATACAAATAAAACCTTTGCAAAAAAAAACAAGTAATCTGAACTCAGTTTGCTTTTATTAATCACGACAACATGTGCCAGTTTTGTTAAAGATGACTGATTTAACAAAATGTGTGTGGTTCTATTGCAAGGAATCATAAAATTTGATAGTGGTTATATAACATATTTCACACTACACTGATACCTGAAAAAAAACAATAATTAATGTGTCAATTAGGATTAGTGTGACTTCTATTTAATTTCTTCAATGAAATGAGTAACATGATGTTAAGGAAATAAAAATCTTGAGTATCAGACTTTTTCGTACATTTGAAATGTGGCTGCTTTATTTCTTTTAAAAAAGATTATTCAGATTTTTAAAAAGTATTACTTCTTGTCTGTGCCTGACAGAAGGCTTTGGGTGAAATCCTAGTTCCTATGAATTTGAGTTTTGTTACTGATTGCAATGGAGGCATGATTTCGCACCCTGCTTTTGTGGTGTTATATTTCTTTTGCTTGTTTTGCTTCTGCAGCTGTGCCATTTTCCTCTTCCTTCCTATTGCCTTTTACTTCTCTCGCTCCTTTCCTCTCTCCCTAATGCCGGCTTCTGCTAATTCCTCTCTTATCTATGTTCATCCTTTTCTTCGCTTCCTTTTTCTCAGCCTTATTAACAGCTTCAAATCAAGAAAAAAATCCCTATTCAGATCACACATCTACCTCTGACTTGCATCAAATAAAGAAGGTAATGGATTAAAAAAAAATCCTTAATAAGAACCGCTCCAGTGAACTTAAGCTAAAATAGCTAATGCTTTCTCTTTTTTTCTAAATATAGCTCCATATATCATTTGAACCATTATTCTACTCAAAGAAACAAAGACACTGTTTTTATTTGCTCTTTGAAAATATTAATATGCAGGAAATTGCTATGCAAGGGAAAGCTGGGTGCTTGCATGTACAAATATGCATTTGGAGGCAAACTGAACTGATACATGCCCAGTACTGTCTTTGTATGAGCATATATACATTCAAACATTTTCAGCACAGCTTAAAATAAGTTTTGAAAATATATTTTAAAATTTTTTGAAACATACTCATTCCTCATACAGCAAAAATTCATTGTCCCCTTTGGATCCATGATAAAAGTGGGACAATTTAATATTTCTCACAATACTATGAAACACAAAATCTTTTTTGTAAAAACCACGGATCTAAGATTGGAAACGTGAATGCATATTTGATTTTAAAGTTTCACATATAATAATAAAATTGGAGTTTTACCTGGGATTAATTTCCTTCTAGCCATAGCGGCAGCTCTGTGAGACTCATATTCTACAAAGGCAAAGCCACGGTTTTTAGTTTTGTCAGTGGCACTTGGATAAACAATAACATCCACCACACCTTCTGTAACTTTCTTCATTTCATCCAAGATTTCTTCTTTCTTTTTTTCTTTCGGAATGGCTCCAACAAATAATCTGCAGTTGTCCAAGCTTACGCAGACACCAATAAATTTCCCTGGACGAATTTCATAATTATTAAGAATCCTGATGGCTAGTTGTGCTTCTTCTTTAGTCGTATACATCACAAAAGCATATCCTCGATTCTCACCACTAAACTCCATCATCAGTCTGAATTCATAAATCTTCCCAGCTCTCTCAAAAACAGGGACTAATTCATCTTCATACATATCACGAGGGATCTTCCCCACAAAAACTTCACAACCCCGGGGTGGGGGAGGACCTTCCCAACCTTAAAATAAATTTTCCATCAATGTATTAATCTGAAAGAACTTTCACGCAATCTTTTTTCAGAATTTGTAAAAAAATCAAACAAGAATTCTCATATAATAATAATGTACAGGGTGCATCCACTTACCTATTGTCTTCTTATTTTCAAAGTTTGAAAATAAGAGAAGACTCTTATTATCCCAATTTTATCTTAAAAAAGCCAAATATGAATTCACCTATGCCCACAATTGCAATAAATCAATTAAACTTAAAAGCAATTTTACTACAATTCAGAGGATAATTCTAAAAGGTATTTCAAAGCTAAATTACAGCCATTATGCTTTGTGTAAAAGAAGTTCATTTTTAAGCTATGATCTATTGTAACGACACATCTCAGAACTCAAAAAATTGACACTAGAAATCAATCCAAACCTTTGTCAGGTGACATCTTAGATAAAGCTGTGTCAAATGCTTCCAGATATATCCTACCAAAGATACAGAAGTTAACTCTGTCTCTTTTGCTATGTTTATTTTGTTTGTTTAGTGTCTATTTCAGAAATACCAAGTTTTCAGTTTCTCTTGCATTAGTTATGTATACATTCAGATATCTAAAACTTAGAGAATCACTAGGAAATTCTTTTTTTTTTGCCTAATGGAGCCATAGTAAACGCAAAGATCTAGGTCAGGAACCTGAAGAAACTGAAACATTGCATGCAGAGCCTGACAGAAACATATCTGAGATGCTGCTTCTGCACAACAATGCTCACCCACACACCAGCGTGCACACCCACAGAGGAAATCTCCTCGTTTGAACGGACTATGCTGCCCTTGCGTTGGTTCCTCCACATGGCCTGGAAGATGAAGGATGGATTATGAGGACAATATTTGCAGGATGACAGCAAAGGGCTGGACACTGTGTGACAAGGATGCACAAAAACAAGGGCTTCTGCTTTGCTGCGATGTGTCTTTGTTCACAGACGGAATAAGGCACTGATGGAGAAAGATATGCCACTGAAAAATAGCTGTGTATTCAGCAATGATGTACAAATTTTCCATGCAAGTTTAATTTTTTTTCAGTAATATATGGCTGAGAAAAAAAAATGGGAGGCATTACTTTTTGACTGATCCTTGTAGATAACAAGGCAAATATGTACCTACACTCCCTATTAAAACTACCGAGAAAGTAGCTGATTTCCCATTTCTTGAGGCCTTCACTTTTCTGAAGACAAACAGTACCCAAACAATTTGTCTGGCTTAATACAGCAGTAATTTAGTGGAATGTGACATACCAAGGAGCACATTAGATGACCTAGTGGTCTAGCTCTGAACCCCATGAATCTATGAGGTATTCTAGTATCTTAAAACACAGTTATCCAAAACCAGTGATTATTTGTGTTATCTGGTACATGATGCACCAAAACACTTACGTTCTGAAAACAGAACATAGAGATATTTCCGACAATATTTATCTGTACTAAAAGGAGATGAAAGAAATCAAGATAAAATACAACCTCTTCCACAGAATCATGTCAAATTAACTACTCCTCCTGAACCTCCATCTCAATTCACACTTGATTATTCAAAATGAATTAACATATGCAGTTATACGTTTCATTTTTATCCCTTTATTACTTCTAAATTCTCAATCTTACACAAGACCATTATTCATATTTTTTACTTTGCTGCTTAACTACAATTATTTGTTAGACAGTTCTGTCCACAATTGCATAGAAACTAAAAGAACCTGCGTGGTTCTCTCTTTCTGAATATACTCTCAAAAAAACTGGCTGATACTAGACATCTGTTTAGCTAGTCTACCCTTCTTCAGAGTTAGTAGAAAATGCTGCTGCTCCATTTGTTTGTTTTCAAAAAAATAAAGCTACACAATCTACCAAATGTATTACTCGTTTTGCTTTTTCAAAACGAGTACAACAATCTAGTGGCATATTTCAATACATGCCATACTGTACAGAAAATTCAGGTTATCCCACATCTCCTCCCACAGAATTATTTGTGCATCCTAAAATTCCTTGACATGGACACCTGAGATTACCAGATACTCAGTGTTAATGCATTTTACATTTGGCTCTTTTAATGGCTGCAATTTTAGAGCTGTTGTTGGTGCCAAAGAACTAAAGTTGCATTTAAAATGGTTTCATGTGAGCAAAGCCAAAACTACACAGCTAACAACATCTATGGGCACTTTCACTGGTCAGCCTAGTATTATACAACAACTAGGAACTATAGTAAAATATATACTATATTCAGAGTCTGAAAGAGTAGATTACTGTGTCAAATGCAATTCAGTTATGTTGTTCCCTCCTGTTTATATATCATGGTGTTGACATTGTTTTGATAAATAATGTATTTCCAATATGGCTGAACATACGAACTCTTTTCTTTTTTTAAAGCAAAATTTGCATTACATACATTTTTGTAAGTATACATGCAAGTTCAACACATGCAAGTTATGTCCTATTTCTTTGATCAGGTGAATTATACTTACTCTACTTAAGGATATATTTTAAGTCTGTTTCTAAAATGAGTTGTTGAGAGCTGAACAAGTACTTTTACTGCTCTTTGTCCTATCTGTATGTTTGTTATTCTAAATGTGTATGAACTAATTTTGCAGCGGTATTTATTTTGGTTTGTAGGTATTATGAAGTGAGAAATTCAGTTTTGTTACGCTTTAAAAACAAGGCCAGATACAAAACCAAAAAAAAAAAAAATCCAACAAAGAAAATGTTCACAAAAGAGCTCAGGAAATTAAACGCTACTGCCACTACATCCTACATTAAAATGCATATAATTGATGCACGGCTGGATCTTATGCCATTCAAAAAATGTAATTCTCTGATATCAAATAAAATGAAAACCATTATCAGGCACAAAAAATAAACTGTTTTGACAATTTGTCTTCATTGCCATATTAGCTAACCTGAACCCAGAATACCTACAAAAAGCTTCTAGCTTATGGTGTGAAGATAAGCCAAAGCCAAGACTTCTATGCATAAATGCAGTTTCCATTACTCCCTTAATTTTATTAATAGCATTTAGATTTTAGTCTTCTGATTTTTATGATTCTAGAAATTTTATTTGTCCCAATGAGAAATTCTGCATTCTTCTTAGTTGATGGGGAAGCATGAGTATGACACACAACTCTCACTGTGACTCAGAAATAATCAAATTTAAGGCAAATCTGTAAAAAAAAACCTAGTTATACTGGTTTTAAAAAATGAAATGTTATCTATGCATACCAGAATTCCTTGTTTTTTTGCAATAGCTCTATGCAAAAAACAAAACAAAAACAAACAGTCAAATTATATAATATTAGTAAAGTAATTATCAGTTCCAAAAAAGTAACTGTGAAGTTAGAGAGTTAATATGGAACTTAGGAAAAAATCCACACGTTAAGATCTTTTCCTTAATGTTCTCTCAGTCACGCTGCAAATGTGGAGTATTTTTAAACTGCCATTTTGTCTGTTATATGTCATCTTTAAAAACTTTAACAGATTTAACTCACAGCAGAATTTGTCCTGACATTCATATACTCACCTGGTGGAGGACCACCAAATTTTCTTTGTCCATTTTCCTGAACCATGCTGTAGCCAGTCTTTTCCATTAAAGCCAGCAAAGCAGCTTCATTCTGAACACCAATACGAACTTTGCAAAATCCATTAACTGTATCTGTATTTTCTTCATGCATCTCTGCAGTGTCTTCAACCAAACATTATAATATCATTTCACATTCACAGAATTTCAAAATTATCCATCCAAAATAGCAACCAAAATTTTGCTAGAAATAATTCTATATTAGTTTAGTTTCTCTCATGGAAGAGCCCAGGCCTGTAGTTACTGCTGTCCATGTATTAACTCCCAATCTTAGTCCCACATTTATCAAATCAGAACTATGCGTTAAAATTAAAATACACTCAACAGCTATTATTTACAGCTTATCAAGCTCAGAATTTGTCTTACTATGGATTAATGTTCAATGAACATTTGCCCCATTTCTATGCAAAATTTCCATTTGAGTAAGAGTAGCTCCAGTCATAAATCCTTAGACAGCTAAGGAACAAGGACTATTGTCTGAGATTTATCCTATTAATCCAATTTTTCCTATCAAGTGTTGCTTTGAAAGCAATTTTAAAACAAAAATATGTAATTAAACCATTCAGAAATTCCTACTGATACCACTTAAGGAGTGTGATAGCAAAATCAGTGTTATGATGTGCTAAAATTAAGCACAATTGATAGACAAAATAATAGCAGCTTCTTCATGGATGCCAGGAGAATTGGAAGACATAAAAGAACAAGCTTCATTATCATGCCTGCTACCCCCCCACCCAAGATTATCTGTTAAGTAATAATTCTCCTGGTGCTGATGATGACCTAAGGGCAGTTCAAAATAAAAAACCAAATCCTGTTCCACCTATTAGGCAGCTAAGTGGACTTCGACGTCTAGGATCATCCTATTCTACCCTGTTCACATCCCTGAAAAAACCCTACTTTTATAACACACCATCACCCTAGCCTTAGAACTAAGTTACCAAAAACTTAAAGAAGGAAGAGCCATCCAACATTTGCATTAGCTGTTTTTCAAGGACTCAAGAGGAGAGAAAATAGGTTTGCTAACAGGCGGAATAGGATCTGACGAAAAGTCTTAAGTAGAAACTTGGGTTCAAGTTTGCTAGGTCTTAGAACGAGTCTGGGTAACAATACATGTGGTGCTTCTCTTCCTCCAGCAGCAATGTTGCAAACAGGAGCGAGCAACAGAAACAATTGCATTGTCTATTTTTGCAGATTTTTCCTCCTTTTTTACATCTGTCTTCAAGGAAACAGGATACAACTCTAGCTGTAATCAACACTAACTCATCTCAACCAACATTTTCTCCTTTCTCCAAAGAGAAAAGTATCCCTTAAAACACTGTGGACACAGAAAGACTTCCTTTTACCATTACAGTGAAAGGGAAACTGGGTATCATTAAAAATGAATTTTTAATCAATAGTTAGTATTTCAAACGTTACCTGTTTCTTCTTGTTTTTTCTAGCTTTATTAGAAATCAAATATAACAATGATTCTTTACTATGGGGCTAAGCAGGCCTGAGTCTTACTGCTTGAAACCCCAACTCCTCCTTAACTGTGTAATGTTGTGTAATGAGTATTGTAAATAATTTGATTCTCTAAGTCCATCGATTCCCTTAACACAATTTAGCAAATCAGGCAGGAGCAAGATTTTTGGAGCCAGGCTACAAAACAAGTGGTCGTGGTCCATTTGCCAGCCAAAAGACTGTGACAAACCTTGTATTCTGAGAACATCAACAGAAACTGAATTTTCCCCTTCTACTACAGCATAATTTCTCCCACAGCATAATTTCTCCCCTTTCTTCTACTGTGTAATTCCTCCCCTTTCTTACATGTTTTCTCAGAAATGGAAAAGTAACCACCACCCTTAAACTAGTCAATTTAAAATTTAAAGGACTGTTTGACAAAATAAGCATCTAATATCTCCTCATGGCAGAGACCTGGTAAGTTTTTATAATGCTTGTTTTGCATAACCACTCTATTTCAAAATGGTTTATACTTTGTTTTGCTTCTTTCTTTCATGTATCCTAATTAACAGATTTACAAGCCTTGTTATAGATTATCTACTATGTTTTCCATGGGACTAGTAGGCCAACTATACTCAAACAACAAGCCTTGCGTAATAGTGTACAGTGACAGGATTTTGTTAACATCTCTGGCTTCCTCCTCTTATTCCATCAAATTTGACACAACAGGACCATTATCTGTTATAACAGTATCTTGGAATACAATCAACCTTGTATATTTCCTTAACCAAAAGTTTATGATACTGTAGTTACCTATAATAGCAGGAGACTGGATGTGAACTAGGGGGATCCCTTCAGTTGTACAAAATCCTTTTTTTTTTAAATGGAGAACTCAAAATAAGAGCATTATTTCTGTTGTAATGAGTACACTTTTTACCCAAAACCCAACACACAGTTTATTAATTGCTTGACCAAAAAGTTTGGGCAGAAAGTTTAAAAAAATACGCATAATATACATATTCCATGTTACATAGATCACACCCAAAATAGCTTAACACAAACCATAGGTCACATTTTTTATTACTGTTCATCCATCCCTCCCCCTTCCATTGCAGTATGATCATCAAGAGGACAGGCAACAAAATCATTCAGGGTCAAACTGATCACTATATTTGGGATTAGGATGGAATTTTATGGCATGATCAGATTGGTAGTCTGTGGAGGTTTTTGTTTTCCTCTGTAGCAAGGAGCATGCATGGCCCTCTACCTGGGACCATCTTAGTGTATATTAACTACCTTTTGTAGAACCATGGCAATGACTGCTGCGGTCATAGAATCATGGAAAATTAATGTTGGAAGGGACCTCAAGAAGTCATCTAGTCCAACCCCCTACTCAAGGTCCCCCTGCTTTACCTGCGGCAGGTTAAGGTGTTACGTCTTGTGTTGTGTCAGGGTTGCCAGTGGTTTTCCAAAAAGTTTAGATTGTGGAGTCACATGGGATGGTTTGGGTAGAGACAATCCAATCTCAGGCAGGGGTTTGGAATCGATGACCTCTGGAGGTCCCTTCCAGCCAGACTTCTCTACCACTCTATGACTATGAAAGCAGATCAGTGTTGGCAATTATGGGCCAACAACAATGGTCATGATGGCAGGAGGACTTCCACATAGCACCAGTGACCACTTCCTCTCTAGGAATGAGTTATATTCAGTGTTGTCAGGTATATGATAATTATTGTATTTGTATGATAAGTTTCAACCCTTGCAAGATGTGTGATCAATAACAGTAAGTGTTCAAAATGTACAATTTGAGGCAGCTAATTGATGCAACATATGCATAACCCAAGTCACTCTCCAGGAGCCTTAACTGACTTTTGGGAGTGCTTCAGCGCTTTCGTATGCCTACTTGTCTCCAAAAAAAGAAATGGTTTAATGACCTACGGCATTTATACACATACATTTTTGTGCAGGGATGAGCCGGAGAAGACTCGATTAACTGAGGGTACGCCACCCACAAGGTGATGCGCACTGCGCTGTAGCGCATGCAGTTGTATAAGTGGCGAAATCCGTATCAGCGCACAGAAAATGGCAACAGTCCACGTTTGAACTAAAACGCCTCTCATGTTTTAGTTCAAAACCATGCCACCACCATTTCCTCAGCGCCAATGCACATTTTGCCACTTTTTTTTTTTTTTTAAAGAAATTTTTCATGTTCCAAGCCAAATCTAATCCAAATCCGTGAGTCAGTCCAGAACCGTAAGTGGCCCTACAACTGGAAAACATCCTCCACCCCCACCAGGGGCTTCAGGATGCCTGCCAAAAGACTGAAAGTATCTATGTGCAGGCGCAAGCCCAGAGGCTTGAGGTTTGGATGCCCCCAAGTTTCACCTGCCCTCAGTCATATCGCTGCAGAAGCAAGCTCAGCAGGAGCCTCCCATTTCCATAAAGTGGGCTTTAAGCCCAAACACCTCAGCAGGTACTAAACCAGGCCAGAAGAGCAGTTATACCTAGGAATGTTTAAGAAAAAACTGCCTTCATGGACCCAGACACGTGGCATTTCACCTGCCACTGCATGCACTGCAGTGCCAGCCGCTTTTCAAAGCACCTGCTGCTGTGGCGTGTGTGTGTGTACACAAGTGTCCCGTTCTCACTCACCCTCTTGACTTACGTGAGCAATATCAGACGACTTATTTGTGTATGTATTTGCACATTTTTCCTAGTGTGTGATAACTTTTCGGCAAATATGAAATGTTAAGCTCCCAATACCATCATTTCATCTTTAACACCTGGCACCACTAGTTACATTTACCGTGCTTCCCAGCCACCAAATTAGGGCTGTGGAGAAGAAACAGCCGCCAGTGGCCTGGCTCCCCAGCAAACGCGCGCGTCTCAAGGCCCACGGGGCAGGCAAGAGACACGTTAAGCGACGCGCCGCTGACTCCAGGCAGGAGAGGAGTCGACTGGGACCTGCGGGGAAAGAGAGAGAAAGGAGGGGAGGTCACTTCAGTGCGGCGTAGGGGGAAGGGGCAGCTGGGGCAGGGGGCTGGAGGGGGCGTCACGAGCGGCGGCGCCCGCCGGCTTCAGACCCCACAGCGACGCCGCACGCGCACCCGGCTGAGGCGTCTCGGCGGTTGCCCCAGGACCGTTGCACGAGCCGTTTAACGGCTGCTCTCCCCGCGCTCCAGGGGGAGCGGCCGGAGGCCGAGGGGCAGGGAGGGATGCTCGGGCGGGACACGCCGCCGCTCCGCGCCTCACCCGCCGCCTCCCGTCCAGTCCCCGGGCCCCGCGCGTGATACTGGCGCTGCGAAAAGGCCGCCGCCACTGCCTCTACAGTCGCCAGGGCAGGGGAGGGCACTGACAGCGTCAACTACCAATCAGCGCGGACGTTGGCCAAGAGGGCGGGTCCAACAGGCAGTCAGGGGTCGAACGAGCCAATGAGGGGAGGCGCTGCCACGTGCAGGCGCTGGGTAGAGGTGCGACTCGTTGACGCCTCCCGCTTTGCCTTAGAAGAGTGGCGCATGGTGCACGTCCTGGGCGCTCGGCTATGTAGCTCCAGTCAGCAACGAGCATGGGGCTGGCGTTGCCCGGCAGGGGCCGCAGCACCCTGGGACGCACGGAGAGCCTGTGGGCGGTGCCATGCGAGGTTAGCTGGGCTAGGGGCGCGCGAGAAGCTGGGAGAAACGCAGAGGTTTCAAACAGGAATCCAGTGAGGGGCTTTTTGGAGGTCTTGGCCACTGAAGAACTAGTCCAAAAAACAAATGCAGATGAAGAGACAGGGGGCTCTAGTCTCATGAACGCTGCCTTCAGACGTGCCTTGAGTCTCAAAATGTTGAGAATAGGTGCCGGGGTTGAGGAGCTGGCAAAGGGAATCCACCCCTGTGGGTTTTCTTCCTGGTTTTAAATTCATGCCAGGCAGCTCAGGGTTTATTTTACAGCACCTCCGCCTTGCCAATCCATTCCAGTTAGTTCACCCCCTCCCCTTCAACCATGCATGCATTGTTCAGTTATTCAGAAAATGTGGACTGCGCTGCCGATATTGCATCCGCTTTGATTGAAACTGATGTGGTCAATGATCATCACTTCTAAGGCTGAATTCTCATTTCAGGTGCCCAGCCGTGAGACCTCCAGAAAGAGGGAACTGGTGTATCGAATGTCCAGACATAAAATGTAGGGCACGTTAGCTCAGTCTCAACTGCTAACTGACAGGAAGTTATGTATGCCATGGTTGCCATTGCTATTTTATGGTATGCTAGGTTTATTGCTTTCTAATTAAAAAACAAACAAAACTTCCTTTGGGTTTTGTAGATGTGTAGAATTGTGTCAGGTGTTGGGTTGTACCAAACATTTCTGGAATATTCCTGTCTGCTGCTTGTAGCATACAGGATTTGGATTGCTTTTCTTTAAACAGTAAAGCAATGCCATGCATATCTTAAAATCTACAGCTACAAGATAGTCAACAAATCATACAAATCTGTTGTGAGATTTTGTTTTAAAGATGGCTTGAGTTAAAGGATCAAACGGGTCACAACAGTGTTCTAAAAATGTATAACTGTCTCATGGTGAACATCTGCATCAGAACTAAACAGAATCTTCAACCAAACAGCTTACTAAGCCATATTTTTATTAACCAGTTTTAAAGCTCATTAGTTCAAATTCTTGATACAGTTGTGTACTTTTATGAAATAAACCCAAGTCACATCATCTGCCATTCCTTCCCCACCCCCTCCTCTTTATTTTAACATTCTCACTTTCTCCTTCCTTTGTTTCTATTCCTTCTCTTCCTACTTGTTACGCTTTTTAGAGAGATGCTGCAGTTCTCCCTCCTCTCGTTGGTCAGTGGCCAACCTTCAAACAACAAAACTGTAGTAGCAGAAAGGTTGACTTCCATGCCCATCTCTAGGGGAGTCTACCAGGTAGGATGGCTGTTTGTATATACGTACCTGTATGCTAGAAACAAGAACGAAATCACCTCACTAAAGCCATTTTTTACTCCACTAGTTTTGATGGAGGATTACTTGGAGGATGAATAAAGAACGCTCCAGTTAAGAAAAACAGCCTTATTTGGTGAAGTGCATAACCCTTTGGTTTAAGTGCTTTGCCCAATCAGGACCTTAGTGCAGTTGTTTGAATGCTTGGGCTTGATAAGCTTAGACATGTGCAAAGGGGCCATTTTACGAAGGAGTCATTTGCTCTGCAAAATGTATTTAGTACAGAGATTAGGTAGAAATGTTATTGAAATAATCTGTAAATGAATGCCATATCTGCAGGTCAGTAACTCTCACTGATACCAGCAGGCCCTAAATTAGTTACCAACAGATCTGTCACATTTGTTTAATAACTTTCACTGATCTAAGGTATGTGCGATATAGGTAGACTATTGTAGGTACTTGAGGTCTTGCCCCATGTATTTTACTTCATTATATGAATAAGACGGTGGCTTTTCTTTTCCTTGTAGTAGGGTCCAGGGCATATGATGCTCCAGTAAATGTGTAAGAAGCAAGGTAAAAGATACTGGGTCACCTACATGTAAAATTAGCCACTGTGCATTAAAGCATACATATAGATGTGCCCAGTATCTTTGACATTGCTTCTCACGTATTCGCATCACACGAAAAAGTGCAATTAGGCTAATGCAAAGTAAAATAGACTACTGTGCATTAAGCATCACTTTAAAACAGTGTGCATTCATTACTGCGCATTAAGGCAGCCTAATGCATGTTTCTTTAGTACCTCACATTGGAAGTACTAAAGATGTGTACATGCCCCCACTGCCAAACAAACCTTGCTTCTTTTTTTCTTTGTCAGTTATTTTTGCTAACTAACAAAGGTCCTCAGCATTTTTTAACATCCATTCTGTACTGTTGGAAGGTCAGCAAGTCTCAACATACATTTTCCTAGAGTAGACTGTTAGTACAATTGTAATGAACTTTAATAAAAACATACATATTTTCCAGTAAATTTTAAAATGGCCTGAAGCTAGAAGAGAGGGTAAGGTAGCCTTTCTCCTCCCTGACGCATCTGATATGAAGGTAGTGCAAATAGTTTAAAACGAAGCAGACAGCCTTTGAAGTTTAGACAAAAGTCTACAGAAAACTGAGACAATGTGATGGTGAATCTAATTATAGTAAGCTGTCTAAAAAGAAACTTAATTTCAGTCCATCAATACATTTGATTTAGGTTCCATTTAACAAGTAGGTACAAATGTCTTGTTAGTGGAATCCTCTTAAGTAAGGCAGTAATATTGCCTCTAGGGTCTTTCTTACAGCATGCTTTTACTTTTGTTCAGTTTTCTTCTTTAAAAGAGTAGTTTTTAATGATCAAGTATGGAAATCAGGTATTATTAAAAGGGCAATTAGAAAAAAAATATTTAAGGATTTATCTTTTAGTGTGATTGATTACCCATTCACCAAGTTAGGGATCTATATGCTAAGAATGGGAATGGGCGATATTAATTGTAACCTATATACGTGAAGGAAATATGTAAATAGATCCTGGGGTAAATGCTACGCTCACTTATATGAGTGGAATTCAGAGTAATTTCACTAAGGGAAATGGAGTTACTTCAGATTTATGCTAATATAACTGAGTGCAGAATTTGATCCTGTAACTTTATTTCAGGAAGAAGCAGGACTTTTAAAAAAATCCATCTATAAGTTGTCAAAGATGTTATAAGTCTGACTGTGTTATTTCTCAAGTGCAGTATTCAGCTTCATCACTCTGATGTTCAGCCTCTTATCAGCATGCTGGACACTTCTGGCTTCTGTATTTATCTGGGATTTATGACACCTGTTAGATATTGCCACCTTGTCTATCTGCCTTAAACACCTCTTATCCCTATAATTAAGCAATACCTTTTGATCTGTCAATAAAAGCAGCCACTGTTTTCTGAAAACACAACTCACAGAAGCAAAGCAGCAGGTTTAAACAACTGGAAAAAGTAAAAAAGAAATGAGATGGTGAAGAGAGAAGAAAATGAGAGCCAGAAAATAAGAGGGAAGAAGGACTGAAAGGAAGAAGATGAGCTAAAGAAATAAGAAAATAGGGAAGTCTTTATTTAGCTACTTTCTGTGCATTTTTTTGCTTCTTTATGTTTAATAGAATGCTTTTACTTTTTCTATTTATTTTTTAACATTTTAAGTGAAGTTCTAAATGGTTGATGTATGACATTCTCTGTTTCTGTACAGTGGCTATTAAACCTATTTGCCTACTTTTTAGTGCTTTTGTGTGAGATTTCAAACTAAAAGCCCTTTAAGTAAAAGTCTTTTCCATATATGCTTGTACATATGTACAGCATAAACAACTTCAAAATACTCTTTCTTCTAATATCCTGCCAATGTATCTCAGAATTTGCTGTAGAGGTCACAGCTAAATAATATAAGGTAGTCAGGTCTCATTTACTATTTAGTTTTACCTTTCTGAGCTTGTCAAAAAGGATTTCACTTAATGCTGTTGTGAACATTTTGTAATGTGCTTACCAAAAACTATACAGAGGCCACCAGCTCATTCCATAAAAAACAAACAGGCATCAGACTATAGTTTGGAATGACCAGGATCAGATCCTAGCTGACCTTGATTTAGCTAGAAGCTTGCTACAGAGGCTAAATATCTGATATTGCATTGCCCACTGAGCAGTTCAGTCATTATGCAATAGAACATATTCAATTAGTTACTGGAAAATGGGATTTAATATTCCCTCCTCTTACGCTGGAGTTTATTGCGGAAATACTTAAAATGCCTCAACAGGGATTTGGAGAATAGTAAGCAATGATACTGTTATCTTTTGGGGCAGTAAAAAGAAAGTCATCCTTAGGGTCCTAGTACTTGACTTAAATTTCAGCTAATTTAAATAGGTGTTAAATAGGTGTCAAGTCTGAAAGTCTTAAAAACCTTAAGACTGATGATGTCAGCTCTGGTTACTTATACAACTGGTGCTTCCTTGCCTAAGGCTTTTTATATCTCTGTGGTAGTTTGGAAGGCATAGTCCTAAATTCATGGATGGAAGTAAGAGTCTAA